GTCCTTAGTTAAGGGGATTGAGGAAGTTGGAAATTTTGCCACTGCTCTTACCGTTTGGGGTTTTGAGGCTTGCTGATGAGGATTGCTTGGGTCTAGGTTCCCTCCGCCGCCTCACCTCCTAGATGGGACGCAAACTTCAGAGAGTTCCTTTTTTTAACGCTGCTGGACCTTGTCAGTTCTGGGTCACCCCCCGGAGCCTTTTTGGGGGTCGCGTAGCCTCTGTGTTGCCCCCCAAAATTTCATCTATCAGCTGCTGAACATGGAGAACCCGCAAAGCACACCCACAACGGAAGGCGGAAAAAAACGGAAGCTTCCATTCCAGATTTAATTCAAAGTACAGCTTTTAAAAAAAATCTTTAAAGCCCTGAATGGCTTGAGGCCAGGAATATGCACCTGCCCTAACATGGAGAGCTTCCTCTAGGTTTTGACATTCCCAGTCCTTTTTTTATAAAACACACACACACACACACACACACACACACACCAATCAATCAATCTGTTTTTCAAGTTCTGGAATCAATGCTTATCTGCTTTTATTCTTTACTACGCTGCAAGTTTTTATTTTAGATTATCATATATGCCATTTCTATGTTGGAAGCTGTCTGCAGAGACCAATGTTATAGGGCAGCGTTTTATATACCGTATTCTTTGCTCTATAAGACTCACTTTTTCCCTCCTAAAAAGTAAGGGGAAATGTTTGTGCGTCTTATGGAGTGAATGCAGGCTATGCAGCTATCCCAGAAGCCAGAACAGCAAGAGGGATTGCTGCTTTCACTGCGCAGTGATCCCTCTTGCTGTTCTGGCTTCTGAGATTCAGAATATTTTTTTTCTTGTTTTCCTCCAAAAAGTAGGTGGGTCTTGTGGTCTGGTACGTCTTATAGACCGAAAAATATGGTATATTATGGGGGGGCACATCTTTAAAGTTGTTTAATGTTACAAATATTATGCCTGAATTTTTCCTTTCAACTTGACAGCTCAGGGAAGATACCTAGCTTCAAAAATCATATAAAATCAACTCCTTTGCTATTTTGCCCTTGGAAAAAGGACTCTTTGTCCCTGCCACCTCACCAAGTGTGAAGACATATATACACACCTCCTACCCCAGGAAATGCCCAGAGGTGACAATTGCTGGACTCAGAGTTAGCCAAAGGAAGCCAAATCTCATCACCAGACTTGCCTCAGGCTCCAGACATACTTTTGGGTGTGTGGGTACTTAAGACATGTTTGCCTATGCTAATCTTATACTTGGGTGTTGCCCTGACATATCTGTCCATGCTAATCTTGTGTAACGCTCCCCTTTAGTGATGTAGCAATGATGTACTGATGATGCTGTGCAAACTGTATTCTGGGATATGGTGGGAAAGTTTTAAAAGTCAATGGGTTCACTCGCTGCTGTTTGAACCTGTTGCGTGACAATAAAGAATCTAAGTCTACTGACTGCTGTTGTGCTCCAAATTACTTGGCTGGAACTTCCTTATCTTACTGACCGCGTGGACCCGCGGGGGACTTGTACCCCGAAGAGCTGGGCTGTTGGATAGTCTCTCAACCCAGAATTTTCCTTAACAGTAGCAAAGACCCCTTGTTAGGCGGCAAATGAAGAAGCAGCAGAGCCTCAAAGAGGGAAAGGTTAAATATGTTGAGGTTAAAGATGGGTTCTTTAGGGACGCAGGTGGCGCTGTGGGTTAAACCACAGAGCTTAGGACTTGTCGATCAGAAGGTCGCAGTTCGAATCCCCGTGACAGGGTGAGCTCCTGTTGCTCGGTCCCAGCTTCCGCCAACCTAGCAGTTCGAAAGCACGTCAAACTGCAAGTAGATAAATAGGTACCGCTCTGGCAGGAAGGTAAATGGCGTTTCCGTGCGCTGCTCTGGTTCGCCAGAAGCGGCTTAGTCATGCTGGCCACATGACCCGGAATCTGCACGCCGGCTCCCTTGGCCAATAAAGCGAGATGAGCGCCACAACCCCGGAGTCAGTCACGACTGGACCTAATGGTCAGGGGTCCCTTTACCTTAAAGATGGGTTCTAGTTCTCAAAATGCTGAAGACCATGGGCGAAATATTATATAATATATATAATATATAATATATAATATATAATATGGTGACCACAGGTCTCAGCTACGATGGGAGAAACAGCCAATTTTGCTCACGCCTGCTGTGCTTCTGCTGTTGGTGGTTTCCTCCACTACTCTGCTCTTCCTCTCTCGGGCAGCTTCTCGATCGATGCAGCAACCAGATTCAAAAGCAGACACTGGAGGAGCTAAAGAAAAGGACAAGAGCCTGTTCTGAAAAGTAACCATTTATTAGAACCAATACAAGAAGTATGAAAGAGTGGGGATGAGGAACACAGGGCAGAGGAGAGAGGTTTGTTTGTAACGCGTCAAACTGTACGACAAATAGCTCCTTCGCTTAAAAATCAATTTTCACACTTTAAAAAACAGTGTAACATACATTAGTGGAGAATCAAAGAGCTTGGCTAAAACGTCACCACAAGGGAAGCTCACATGTACACCCCCCCTGCAAAGTTAATCAACGTTTTATTGTGGATGGCAGCATATTACTGGGGTGAAAAGGGAAGAGTGGCCACATCGCCCCAGTAAGGCCTCCTTCCAGTGTTCACTGGAACTTTTAACACTGATCAAGTTGAACCTTGATATGCTTCACTTCCTTGCCCCACAGGAAACTCTCAAGGTCCTTTCACACAACTACTCTGCATGTGGCTGAGCTTGTGTTTTTCTGCTTGGATCCGACCAAAGTATTCACGTCGTCTGAACTGTTTGCTATAAATCGAATGCTACAACTTTACAGCCTCTCTCCGAAAGGCTTCACAACAGGCTTCAGTTTGTTGTGAACGGATTCAGGCAACATTATGCACCCAAATGATGCCTGCATCCAGGCAAGGTGAAAAAAAGTAAATGCAGTGAACCACCAGATTTCTTTTCCTTTGAGAGCTGGCTTTGGATTTTGAAGTGATGACATAAGCTATTGTCTTGGATGTCTCTCTTGTGCAGCTAAAATTCACTTCTTTGTGACCCGTGGTCTTTGTTTCTGATAAACAAGAATTTCAGATCTGGCACAAGAAATTTAGGATCTAGCTCAAAATGGTTCAAATGCTTTTTTTAAAAGGCTTCAGAGAACAGGAATCCAAAACACAGCTTGCTGTTCTGCAGTAAGCTAAGCAGCAAGTTGCAAGCCTAAAGTTGTTGCAAAAGTTGCAGGTAAAATCTAATGCTCTTGTTCACAAACAGAATGCCTCTCCAGTTTGGGGGATCCAAGAAAATTCAGATCGTACTGGGTGGATGCCTGGCTTCTCCCTTCCTTCTGCTGCCTTCTTCACTGTTCCCCACTGAGGGGACGAGGCAGTGTCTTTACAGTGCACGTTGCCAAGGAAAGATTTAGATGCCACCCCAGGTAAAAATTAGACCGTTAATCAAAAAATTAATGAGTTTAATTAAAACAAAATTAATTTTCTCTCTCTGAGTTTTATTTCATTATTCTAGGCGACTGGGATAACAATTCACTTCTTGACAGCATGCTAAGAAGAAGATGCGTCAGAAGACTGCACCTGCAAATTGAATGTCTCACCATGAACTTAACCCATGATGAATACAGAGAGGAAGTACTCAATTTAAAAGGGGGGGGGGAATCTTTAGAGTTTTTTAAAGCCCCAAACAGACATGCACACATGCACACCATTTACAAACCTCTAATAAAAGCCCAGATCTAAAAATCAAACCTCCCCCATCAACTCATCAGACATACATTTCCCCACAACTTCCAAAGGTAAGACACCAAAAAAGCTAACATCAAAATGCTTTGTTTTGCCACTGAAACATTGAGACCAGGAGCCAAAGAGGAGGTAGGATCATTTCAGAAGCCACTGAAACGCAGCGTGAATGGCTTAGAGATCCTAAGATGTTTTCAATCAGCTGGCAAGTTCCATACACCTTGCAGGATGTTCAGCTGACTGGAGGGAACTGGGGCGGCGGCGGGGGGTGGGGTGGTTTGCACATGGCTGGTATCCAGGAATCCAGCCATGCTTTTGGGATATATTTAAAAGAGCTTTCTCTTTTTTAAAAAAGAAGTGTCTTTTTGAACAGTGCTGCAGCATATCATCAGTTCACGTTGTGAAACTCGCCAAGGTCTACTTCCTTACATTTCTGCCTACTGAGAAGATTAAAAGGGATTTTCAGTTTCTGTCTCTTAGCAGGTTAGGCAGCTGACCCATTTTGTGGGTATGTTTAGCTTGGCAAGGGAGCTTTAAGTACCACATACAATGTCCAACTGTGATGGGGGGTTGTGTGCTACCTCAGACTAAAAGTGCATTTTTTAAAAAAAGTTGAAAGAGGAAAAACAGAATGACATTCTAGTTATTTTAACTTTTCTCCTCCCTGGAAAGCTGCGTATGGGAGTAGATATTTAAAAACACACATGCAGACCAACAAATGCACCACTGAGAAATCGTAGCACAAATACTTGCAAGGAAGAGAAGTGCTAGCGTGTTTTGCTAGAAATGGTTTTAATACAGTGGTATTGGACAGTGGTATTATCAAATACCTACTAATTTCCCCAACATATGTCTTTGCTTTTTGCTTTTTTTTTAGCCTGTCACACAAGTGCTTATAATCACCAGAAGTCCTCATTTTCAGCTCTAGATAGAAACATCTATTAGCAGCAGCTGGCAAAAAGGATAGTGTTTATGCTGCAATGGAGTGGAGGATAAAGGAAATATGTGCTTCTAGTGCTCTCAACGCTGTTCCCACGAGGTTTACAGGGGTAAGAGGGGGAGAAATCACTGTTTGATCTGGTGGAACTGTGGGGACTTTTACAGAGAGGATCTGGGAATTATCCTTATGAAAGGAAAGCTCTCTTATTTAGCCTGCACCCTACTGGCAGGATGTCCAGTTGTAAGAGGTCAGGGCACCTGCACCTTCGACAGTTGTGTGGAAGAGGGAATTTCAGCTGGTGTAATTTGTCAGATGATTCACTCTTCTACACAATTATCATAAGGGACAGGAGCCCTGTTCTGTTTTGAACCTGGCCACTCCTACCTGAACTAAACACACCGACCTTGGCCGATACCAGGCAATGTTGCTGCTAGAGGCTTGGCCTGGGAAGCTAAAGAAGGCAGCCACAATATGGAAACTCTGAGTTTCGATACTGCAGGTTTTGGTCCACAGAACCAGTGGTGTAGCGTGGGGGGAGCTGAAGGGACCATCGACCTGCACACAGTTTTTTGGGGGGTGCCTCAGCTCCCGTTGCTCAGTCCCTGCTCCTGCCAACCTAGCAGTTCGAAAATGCAAGTAGATCAATAGGTACCACTCCAGCGGGAAGGTAAACGGCATTTCCTTGTGCTGCTCTGGTTCGCCAGAAGCGGCTTAGTCATGCTGGCCACATGACCCAGAAGCTGTACGCCGGCTCCCTCGGCCTATAGAGCGAGATGAGCGCTGCAACCCAGAGTCAGTCATGACTGGACCTAATGGTCAGGGGTCCCTTTACCTTTTACATGGCACCATGCCCCATTGTGAGCTGTTGCAACATGCGTGCGCCCTGGCCCTCCCTGCAAGCCCAGCGCTGCTCACAAAAGCAGCACTGGGCTCGAAGGGAGGGCCAGGGCGCACGTCTGCTTGCGGTCTCACAAAGCGATGCTGGGCTTGCGGGGTGCCATAACCGTGCCCCACTTTGCAGCAGTGGGCAGGGATTGCTCCGGTGGTGCGCCCCACCCATGGCTCCACCCCCACAGTGTGCCCTGCGCATGCCCCAGGCACAAGCGGGGAATGCTTTGCCGCTGTGCAGAACTGCAGCACAGGAAATATGTTCCAAATGGCAGACTGCGGTTGGTTCAAAGCTTCTGCTCTGTGGTGGGCTTAGATGTGGTCCCTTGCTGTGGACTCCAGATACCTCTTTACTTCTTTGTCCACTTCCCCAAACTCCAGACCACATGGAGATAACTAGTGGCAAAGAAGAAGGTCCAACAGACTATTGGAAGGACCAGGGAAAAGGGTCAGTACACAAGGCAGCCTGACCTCTAGGAGAGCATAAGGCTGTGCTGCTTCTGAACTGAAATGGGACTTCAGAGGCTGAGAGCTGTTTGCTGGCTGATTAAGGGCATCTAGCTTTCAATATTGCCTTCCCAGATGCAATTCTTCCTGTCTCCTACTCCTCAGTCCCCCCCTCCCATCTTTTTCTTTTTTTGTTAAGTAGAAGGCAGAAGCTATAATGAGTCACAGCCCCCACCCAAGATGGTGAGCCTCATACCTGTAATGCCTTCAGGTGCATAAATAAAATTTGGGTCATTCAGCAGCTTTATTTTTCCTGCTGTTTTAATTCAAACAGATGGCTAACAACAAAAGCAATAATAACGAAAATAAGAAGACGGCTATTTTAAACCATTTGTTCTTTCCATCTTTACAGAATACAATGCAAATTTTTTTTTTTATCCAACTGGCCCTTTCCAACAGTTGTAACTAGGGAATGGGGATGGGGAGAGAGAAGATAGCTTTCTGTGAAGAAGTGTAGGGAAAGAAACAGGAATTTTCCTCCCTTTAAAGTAACTATATTCAAAGATCAGAACCTTCTCAAAAAACTCTCCAAGTGATTATTTGTTCACGGTGCAAAAGTGGTGCAGATCAAATTTAAGTGGAGTGTGAAACCCATCTATCCTCACAAATCCTGCTTAGCAGCTGCTATATTCTGCCTGTTCAACATGCATGTGTTTTGGGGACTGAGTGAAAAGATGCCAAAACACAGAAATGCTGGTGGAGTCAGAAGAGATGGGAGATGGGCAAGTCTCTAGTGATGCAGGAGTTACAAACAATAGCACCAAGTCAGCTCCTGGCACCACACCATATCCAAACCATCCACAAGAAGCGGTTCTTGACAGTGTGACAGGGCTCAGCATACAGAGGCACAAAATGGAATGATGCGGAACCGCTTTGACTGTCTGCTGTAGGAAAAGACAAAGCTGAAAACCTCACAACGTCAAACGGAACGAGGAACTGTCACCAGGCTTGGGACTTGCATTGGTGCAAACACTCTGTCTCACCCTTCTCCCCTATAAAAAGCAAGACGAAAGTGGTTGGGAGAAGAGGTGTGCGTGTGGGGCAGGCAGGGAGCAAAAGAGTTAACTACTAGCCCCTGAAAGGAAATTAGCAGGAAATGCAAGGACTAGTGGCATTTCACTTCCACGGCAGAAGGCTAGCCTACTTCAAACTGATTCTTTCGCACGCTCCCATCAAGTCTCTTACAAAGTTGTATGATGCTTATCTGTCCTTAGGTATCCAAAAGTGCAGCTGGTGAGAAGCCAGCAGCAATCAATGCTAATACTGTCAAGCTTTCCCTTTTATTGCCGAGAGTTACACCGAAATCTGTCTGCAAAGAGGGGAGATGAAGCTATTAGTGAGTGTCAAAACTCTAAAGGGCCCTAAAGTCCTATCTATATACTACACAATACAGACATTCCATGTGAAAAAACATGCATGGGCATGGTCATGAGAGAAGGGCACAAAGGAGGGAAAGACTGCTACCTGCTTTCTGTGACTTGGTCCTCCAGCCGCTCACCATATGGAACAAGATGGGGAAATCAACTGCCGAAAGGACTTCTAAGGGTTAAACAATCCCAACACCCTCAGCGTGGAATAATTACTTAGCCGCCACATTGCTGGTGCAGAGAAATGGGATACTTTTCAGGGGGCAGCCAAGGAGAGACAAAAAAAAAAAGTCTGTCCAGAAAACTCTTGCATCAAGATCCGTGTGCTACGTATAACCAGGTGCTTGAAAGGAAAGCATGCTCGCATGAGACAGCTCCTCTAAGTGGCCAATTTTCTTTTTTTAAAAAAACAAACAAACATACCTGGGGTAAATGGCGGAAATAAAAGAGTTTGCCCACATCTCACAGCAGAGGTTATTATGTCAGAGATGCCTGCTGCATGTGAAGAGAGCTATCCGAATGACGAGAGAGCCCAGAAAATAATCCAATTTTGGAACCATGATTTCCAGCTGTCTTTGGAATAGCCACAACAAAGAAGGCTCTCCAGTATGGCCCAAAATTTGGCTGGGCTGCTAGTCCTATCCATGTACTGCAAGATAAGAAAAACAAAAGGAAAGAGGTGGTAGGATACTAGATTTTGATTGCATGAAAAGACTGGTTGGAAAAGGAGGAAATTGTCCTTGCTAGCTAATTAGTTTTTAATGGTTGCCTTCCCAAATTACCTGCTCCTGCCCTGCAGCTAGAAAACTGAGTGTTGGCTGAGTGGAGCTGGTGCAAGTGACATTGGCATTGGGAGTCAGGATGAAAACCGGTACCCAACATCCTGGAACCCAATTCCAGCAAAACGTCAGCAATTCCTAAAACAACGAAAATGGCCCCATGATGTCCTGGCTTGAGAATTATTTGGGTAATCTCAGAATCCAAAGAGTGTTCTGAGTCAGAATCCCCTGTCAGTTTTACAGTCTTCATAGAGGCCAATGGGAAACAATAACCCTTCACTCTCAAACTGATGCAAAAGTGAGGAACCCGGGGGGCGGGGGGGAGACAAATGGCCTGGAGACTCAGAGGGATTTCAAAGTGAAAACAGATTTTGGGGGATTGTGAGATAAGGGGAACAAGGAACACACATACACGCACACACACACACACACACCATGTCAATCTTTTGGGAGTGAAACTGAACGTGACTCACACCATTAATGTTATGGCTAACCCAACCAATATCAACATTTCTCCTGTGGAGCACAGTAATAAGCACATTTTCATGGATGCATTTGGGTGGAGGGGAAAGGAGGGTGGATATGTACAACTATGGACGGACAGAGGACCCTGGCCACTTTAGCTTTTCACTGCTTCCCGCTCTTTGTTTTCAGCGTCTTCTGGGTATGCGTGCCAGGTCAGTCTCTCTTCATAAAACGCTATCACAATTTGAGGGCACTTGACGTTGGCTTCTTTCGCTAGAACCAGGTCAGCCTCATCCGTGTCTTTCCTGAAGAGGTAAGCAAGGACAACAAGAGAAAGACTCGTCACTAGTTGATCAAGCAGTCACACCCCCCCCCCCCAATTGATTGGTACATGAAAAAAGGGGAGCTGGGCTCAAGTAACCTGCCTGAAGGAAGCAGCACCAGAGTAGGAGAAAACATATACCGGTATTTAAGCTAAATAAGAAAAATTCCTTCCAGTAGCACCTTAGAGTTATTCAAGCCCCTTCGCCACGGCAAGGCAGTGATGCATGAAGGGACATCCCATGGACTGCAAGAAGATAAAACCTATCCATTCTGAAGGAAATCAGCCCTGAGTGCTCACTGGAAGGACAGATCCTGGAGCTGAGGCTCCAGTACTTTGGCCACCTCATGAGAAGAGAAGACTCCCTGGAAAAGACCCTGATGTTGGGAAAGACGGAGGGCACAAGGAGAAGGGGATGACAGAGGACGAGATGGTTGGACAGTGTTCTGGAAGCTACCAGCATGAGTTTGACCAAACTGCAGGAGGCAGTGGAAGACAGGAGTGCCTGGCATGCTCTGGTCCATGGGGTCACGAAGAGTCGGACACGACTAAACGACTAAACAACAACAAACAACAAAGCACCTTAGAGACCAACTAAGTTTGTTATTGGTATGAGCTTTCGTGTGCATGCACACTTCTTCAGATACATTGAAGCTGTCAATTAACTGGGAGGAGGAAGGCAGCTACTGCAACCCCAGTGGTGTGTGTGTGTGTTGCATACATTAATTGTCAACTAAGGGACTTCTTTTCAGTGAAGAAGCAATTTATAAACAAAATATACATATGCAATACTTATAACAGGCTGCAAATGTCGACAGGCATAATCAATAAACGAATCAACTAAATCTTTAGTTGATTAATGGGAGCAATTTTTAATCAATGAGACTGAATTAAAGCCATCCTTGTTTTACATTTCAAGGTGATTTGGTTGTAGTATCTTTTACAAAACGGAAGAAAAGTTTGGGGGGAGGAAGAAAAAGAAAAATATTGAAAGGTGGCCTTTCCTATTAATTAGGTTGTTGTTTTTGTTTTTATATCTTCATTTTAGTCTGTGAACCATCCTGAGACAGGTTTAGGGCAGTACAGTGGTACCTCAGGTTACATACGCTTCAGGTTACAGACTCCGCTAACCCAGAAATAGTGCTTCTGGTTAAGAACTTTTCTTCAGGATGAGAACAGAAATCGTGCTCCGGCGGCATGGCAGCAGCGGGAGGCCCCATTAGCTAAAGTGGTGCTTCAGGTTAAGAACAGTTTCAGGTTAAGAACGGACCTCCGGAACGAATTAAGTACTTAACCCGAGGTACCACTGTATATAAATTCTAATAATAATAATAATAATAGCTTTTGTTCATAAATGGCTAATTAAACTTAAATTTCCTCCAATATCACAATGAATTGATTGAAGCACAGATGGTTTATCAACTTAAAAAAAAGATTGACAACTCTCATTATATACTACTTAATGTCCTGGCCAGCAACTGGCTTTCTGGAGGACTCTTTAAGGAGGGAGCAAGGGATGGCTGCCAACCATTTATTTTGCCACCGTTGCCTTTAATCCTCTAGGTTGATAACTGGAGGGCCAGGTTGGCATCTCCTAGGGTACCCAATCTGACACAAGTGCTTCCAGTTGCTGAACCCAATCCTAGTGCAGTAACACTGATGTTCTAACCAGTGTTTGAATGCATACTCAAACAGAAATCTCTGCATTTCTCCCTTTTTCCTGCTCTGATCGATGAGGGGCACAAACACAATTTTCTCTGCTGTACCCCTTCTCCAAGAGCTGACTTTAAGATTAGGGCTGGGTTGCCAAAAGAAAGCAACACTGTGCACTTCTTTTCCCATCAAAAGGATGAGAAGAGGGGAGAGGAAGCAACAGAGCAATGTCTCCCCCTCAATCTTTCTAGGAATTGTACAGTTATGGGTGGGAGTCCAACATTCAATCAATTAATTGGTTAGATCAATCAATTAAAAATACTCCAACTGGTTAAAAATGTGCATCTGTGCATTACATACAGCACAACCAAGCACACACTGCAGGAAATACTACTGACAAAAATTGAATGATTCTTTCAAGCCTGATTGCAGCAGAGGAAAGGATTATCTGGGCACATGTTTGCCCAGGAATGCCATGTTGGAAACCCCTGATTTAAATCAAAGGACGTATGGTTTTCTTTTTTGTTTTACCCCTGTGCAAATGTAATTGATTAATAATGAATCCCTGATTTTATTTTTTACACCACCCAGAAAACTATTCCTGTTGAGCAACTGATAAATGGTTGACTAAGGTAAATGGCAGCCCAAGTTTGAAATGTTTCCACCTAACATAATAGGGGCTAAATACAGTACAAAAAGGTACCCAGTTTTCCTGGATCTCTAGAAGCATAGAATTTGGCTCCTGTACTTGTCCACACAATCGTTTGATGGCACAGCATATTGAAAACTGCTACTATAAGCAAACTTTTTAGTTATTTTTTTCAGCTTAACTTTGTTTCAATTTATTTACGCTTAAAATGTTGTGCTTCAAAAGGTCAACTCCCAGGATTTTTCTTTCTTTCTTTACTCTATTGGCAGGACTGGAGGCTTGCACTGTATGTTAGAGATTCCTATTTTAAAATGCATTTCCTCAAGGGAACTGCATGCAACCGATGAAGAAATCATATAGTAGAATGTACAACTACACGAGATGAAATGTAAGCTTGCTTTGTAATCTAGCATCTTTTTTTTTTTTTTAGAAAATAGGGATAGGCAAAGGCAAAACAGAGGTAAGGCAAGGGTATACAAAGAGGACAATTTAGCTTGACCAGTATACTACAATAACAAGAACAGAAATGGGCAATATAGCCTGGATGTCCATCCACTCTCATTTTCTATGCCTCGCTTTGAGTTTAAAAGCTTCTGGTGATACCTGAGCTTTCTGCAAAGGCATTACAAAGTTGCTAGACATTGCGTATCTCATGACATTTACTGGTAAAGGCTACCTAGCACAGATTAGGGCTACAAACCTTTTAATTAATTAACTGGTGCAATCAACTCAAGACTTCATTGCCAGTTAACCTCCACCCCCAACACATACACAATGGTATTAGTGAGAGGCTATAGCAAGTAAACAGTCTGGGGACTGTTAAAGGTAAATTTGATAAAGGTAAATTTGCAGACTGCTTTTCCTTGTGTCTGTGCCCAACATTAACAGTTACGCCCTGGGAAGCAAAGGTTTTCATGACAGTCGTCAGAAACTGAAGCTGGTAATCCTGACTTTTACTTGCTTTTTATTATTAAGCTGATGAAAAATAAAATATTGACAAATTGCCTTTCCTTAAACAATACATTATTTATTAATTTATAAGCTACTTCTCTTCGCCTCAAGATCCCCAAAACAAAACAATCATTCAAGTTTTACATTTTGTCAATCTAAATAATATACATATTATTGGTGAGCATTTTAGGTTCTTTTTACTCGTTTTTAATATTTGTTTTCAAAAGTCACTTTGAGTTTACCTTTCTGAGAAAAGCAATAAATATAATAAGTAATTATAGCAAAATATTTATGAGTAGATATAAGGTGCACTGTTAAGTCCCAACTGAGTGCAATTCATTAATTCCAATTCCCAAGTAAATGGGTACAGGATTGCAACCTTAATTCAATAGAATTTGTTTAAATGCCAGATAGCAAACACGTTTCATTAATGACCACTGAATGATGTCAATTGCAAAGGTAAGATTTAAAAGTGATCCAACGCAGAGTACAGATTAATTAAAATGAGTGTTGTTAAACTTCACAATCTGTTTCTGCAGTATTTTGCAATAGAAATTATTCCCACTGCCTAAAAAGAGATTAGTTCTTTTGAAGTAATTAATTTACCCAATGATAGCAAATGTGATCCAGGGGATAATTTGGTTGTGTACCTATAAGCCCAGGGCTCAAACCAAAGCCTTGGACAAGCCACATTCCCTTAACCTCAGCTTCCATTTATAAAACAGCATCACAGCAAAATAGTTCACAGGGTTCAATGGTGCTGAGCACTGTAAATAACCTTTGCACATTTAAAACAGTCTACAAAATATCGTGTTAATCTGCAAAGCATTTGTCTCATTGAACAGATTCCTTGCTCTACAGAATTCAAGTGAGCTGGAAATTTCAAGATTGGATATTCATCAGCTATTAATCATTGCCTTTCTTGGATGCATCACCTGGGACCAAGCTACCATTGGACCTGGGCCTCATATAAATGACTTTTTTTAAAACAGCGATTGTTCCACACAGGTGATTTACCAAAGGTGAAGTTCTCCAGTTTGGGATTGTAGCCCTTACAGGGTATGGGGGTGTATTTCCGCAACCAAGAGGTGCCAGAAAATACCCCTGGGTACCCAGGGCGTTTGGTCGTGCGGTAGAATGAACCAGGGAGAGGTGAAGCGACCAATTCTTCTCCCCGCGTTCCTTGTCTCTGTGTTCCCTCCAGCCCCCTCCTCCAAGGCGCTGCTGTGCAGCTGGCTCCCCTCCCCCACCCTGTCTCAAGAGGAGCAGGCACCATCCATCTCAACCCCGCCAGCTTCAGAGACAGCAAAGCCCAGGACAAGGGCTTATTATCTCTGCTGCATTGCTACAGGGGAGGAGGACCCAGTATCGAAATCTTGCGGGGCTGGGGCTGGGGGTGGCGGAGGGGAGTTGAGGAGCAAGAGGCAGCTCCCTTGAACACAGCTGTGCTATAACCTCTGCCAGGCAGATAAGCCAGACTCCCAGCTCTTTGTTTCGGCTGGTGGGGGAGGGGCTGCTGCATATGCAAGCACGGCCATCTCTCTCTCTCTCTCTCTCTCTCTCTCTCTCTCTCTCTCTCTGGCCAGAGAGGCTTCCAGCTGAGATAAGCCCAGGAGCAAAAACAAGAGGCAAGTCAAAACCTTCCCAGGAGGATTTCCTGTGCTCTCTAGTATTTCTTCTTCTTTTGGGGGGCGGGGAGGGGGGCCGAGATGTGGAAGGGAAGGGGCTTGTGTATCTTGCAAAGCATGATATACAAGCTCCAGGTGTAGAGCATTTTGCAGAGCAGAGGGAAAACAAAGCCTTAGCAGAGAAGCAGAATGAAGTGTCCTTGGGCCATTTTGCCACAGCACCTCACCCTAGACTATTCTGGTAATTTATTGGCTGCTTTAAGAAGGGCCGCCGAGAGCAGGAAAACCAGACAACAGGGTCAATATTAAAAAAAAGAAGAAAGAAGCACACTCACCATTTCATTAGGAACATTAAATCGCCGCAAGAGTCTGTGGCTCCAATGATCTTTTCCGGCTCCAATCCTCTTTCAAAGCCCCTGGCAATATCGGTGCTCTGGTGGAAAGAAAGACAGAGAAAGAGAAAGACAGTTACAAAAACAATTCTTTCCTCCTCCCGTTCTTTGGCCATTTGTTAATCTCCCTCAACCATGAGGCAGAGGGGCTTCAAAGGGCACCGAGAATCAGGTGATAAACAGATGTGGTACATGGCTTGATGGTAATTAGCAGATGAGGGAAGAGGCCTTATCATCTTTTCTTCTTCTCTCTTTTCTTTGACATATCTTCTTTATGAAATGTTTGGGGAGAGGGGGAAAGGGGAAAGAAACCTAAAAGGAGGGGGGAGGGAGAGAGGTAGAGAGAGAGAGAAGAGAAATAAAGAGTCGCCATTAAAATGGGCTAGCAAAGCGATGGATAGATCTAGGGAATTAAGTCATCTTGCCTTTGCAGCTGCTGCAGCAGCAGTAGCAGCAGCCATTCGTGATTTCCAAGGCTCCCCATCCCTGCTACGCCTCCCCCGCTCCAGAGCGCACCACCTCTACGGGCTCTCACACGGTCCTCGAGGTCTTTGTGCCGGTGCCGTCAATGGGTGTGTCCCATTCATGCAGTTGGGGCGCTTTTTTTGGTTTGTTTTTTTGTTTGCAAGGAGAGAGCTTAAACCGCCGGGGCCCCAGACAAGGGTCGGTTAGCTCCCTCTGCACATACCATCTGAAGGCTGGTAACAGCGTTCAGTTGCTGCAAGCCTGGAGCGAGCGTGTTCTCCCTGCTTTGCAGCAGCAGCACCGCCACACGCTATTCTGAGGGAGATCCACACATTTGTTGCCCACACATACTGTCTGGTAGATGCGGCTAGGCAGAGCAAGCAGTTAACAAAGAGGCAGGCGGCTTGACTTTTTCGAGGAAATAAAAGCAATTGCCAAATGAAGAGGAAGAAGAGGAATTTAAAAAAAATAAATCTATCTCTCTCTCCGCGTGTGTGTGTGTGTGTGTGTGTGTGTGAGAGAGAGAGAGAGAGAGAGAGAGAGAGAGAGAGAGAGAACAGACTGAATACAGAGGACAACTCTAGGGGACCTTGGGGGAACTAATGAACCCACAATTCATGTAATAATATAATACAACACTTCATTTCTCAGCTTCTTCATATTGCATAAGAAATCCAGACCAAACTCCTGGTTTAGGACAGTTTGGACTAACAATCACCTCTGGCTTTAGTTAAGAACACTTTAAATTGAACTCATAACAGGGCCAGAACAAGATCATTGTGTGGAAAATTGTAGCATATGAGGGGGCCCCCTATTTCGCCCCCCCCAAAAAAAATTGGAGTGGGGGCTTAGTCAAAACTGGCCACTAAGATTACTGAGCCCTTACAACAAATATCTAACTCAACAGGTATGTATATGGGCATTTTTAAAAAAAGTCTTACTCCCCAAAGTGCTGATGGCCATGATAGATCTACGTATAGCTGTTACAACTCCCAACAGCCTGGTAGAAAAGGATAACTGCTTTAAAGAAAAGATTTGTTGGGTAAAGAGAATCTCTTGTGCGAACAGTAATTGGATAGTGCGCTAGCCAAAACAAACAAGCAAAAGTGTTCTCCTTTTGAACTATTGAGTCTCCAGTAGCTATTGTTATTTGCTGTGATCTCTAAAACAGTCACAGTGCTTAGCAAGACCCTAGCAGATGGCTCAATATAAGGGCCAAAGCTACACATGGCTTTAAAAAGAGGGGAATGTGTGTGTGTGTGTGTGTGTGTGTGTGTGTGTGAGAGAGAGAGAGAGAGAGAGAGAGAGAAAGAGATTTCGATCCAAAGGACATGTGCATTCTCCCCATGCCCCTTTTGTGCTTTAAAATCACATGCCCCACCCACCTTACATATGACTGGAGGAGACCCATGGAGGAGACACAGGTTACATGCCACCATTAAACATAGTTTTGCCTTGGATTACCAACTAAGTTAAAAAGCAGTCTGGGCTGGAACTGAGACCAGTGCTGTCTCACTCTGCCTTACCAAGCAGCCTAGCTGCACATGGAGATTTGTTTATTTATTTTTTTAATCTAAGTTTTACTTAAGAGAAGACATACTGAAATTAATGGACCTAACCTAGCCATGTTCGCTAATACCAATGAGTGCACTTCAAGTAAAACTTAGCTGGCTACCAACCCACCTCTGTCAAATCTCCCTCACGACAGAAAGTTTCATACACTTATTTATTTAAATATTTTTATGCCTCCCTTCAGTAGAACTCCTAGGGTGGCTTGCAAGAAAATGAGAAAAACAAAAAAAGGTTAACAACAAATATAAAAACAACAATAATCCAATAGCGCAACTAATCTTTGAGCACACTGCTGAAACTGTGAGCAGCCAGGAATGCACAACAGAGTCTTAATCTGAGATACAGGATCTCTTATATGACACATAGACACAGACCCATCTTTTTCACAGGCCTCCCTGTGTTCCTCTCCCTTAAAGAGCACCACAGGCTCTAGTGCAGAGACAATCATAAGTGCACTGAGCTTTGATAACCAAAGCATATACCAAGAAAGAATAATGCTGTACCGCTGCAAACTTCCTCTCTTGAAAATCACATCTTTTGATGTGGTTTCAGTGGCTAGGTCAGACAGATATGGGATTTTCACAAGATGTGTTTTATATGTGGTTGATTATTTAAAACATTTTAAATATATATGTTTAGTTGTCAGCTATCCTAAGCTCTGGAACGGGGCTAGATGGATGTTTGAATGCCTTTCCAGCTCCCCGCTTGCTCATCACATTTATATCCTGCAGATCCTGTTGGGAGTTCAATGCAATCTCACTTTATCCTCACAATTCTGAGAGGTAAGTTAGACTAAGAGAAGCAGAGTAACTTGCTCAAGGTCATCTAGTGAGCCTGTGGTCCAAATCCCATGCTTCATCCACTACTATACCATACTGGCTTCCAAAGAGGGAGCACTATGAACTGAGCTTCTAGCCTCTTCCAAGGCTGGTGGCAGACATGATGCTTAACCATGATTAAACATAACAAATGGCCTTAGCCTTACTATCTGGGTTCTCATCAGCTGCAAACTAAAATGTGAAAGCATGACTTAAAGCAAGATTGCTAATCGCAGTCACGGCGTCTATGGTTTCATCCCTGTATGCGCAGGCCACGACACCAGAGAGATGGGAATGCCGAGTAGACATACTGCAAGTCAAAAAGCAGATCTTTTCCAAACTAATATTTACAGTCTTCCTCTTTCTATCTGTGACTCAGCCTCCATCTACACCTCATGCCTGGACTCTGGCTCAACCATAGGAGCCAATTCCTAGGGTCCATGGGGGCTTCAGTTCCCACAATAAAATATTTGAGGGGCTGATCCCCCCCAGTTGATGGGCATTCCCATTCAAATGGTGTGTGTGCACTGTGTCATGTGATCAATTATGCAGGGTGGGGCTTACCTGGGCCCCCACAATATTTATTCAAGTTGGCACCCGTGGGCTCAACCAGCAACAGCCTGTGCCTACAATTTGTGACTGTCTGATACGTCTGTCCCAGCAGTCCAGCAGAGACCTCAGAAAACATCTGCTGCAGCCCATGAGCTAGAGCTGAAAAATTATCAACAGAGAGATCAGAGCTATTCCTTCTTAAACGGTACAAAAGCATCACTGTAGTGAAACAAGGAGACCAGGGAGCTTGTTGACATGGAGGTGAGCAAGAATATGCAGGAACGTCTGCAAACCCAGCTCTGAAAAAAGACTACCTTTAGAAGAAGAGTTTGGGTTTGATATCCCGCTTTATCACTACCTGAAGAAGTCTCAAAGTGGCTAACATTCTCCTTTCCCTTCCTCCCCCACAACAAACACTCTGTGAGGTGAGTGGGGCTGAGAGACTTCAGAGAAGTGTGACTGGCCCAAGGTCACCCAGCAGCTGCATATGAGGAGCGGGGAAGCAAACCCGGTTCCCCAGATTACGAGTCCACCGCTCTTAACCACTACACCACACTGGCTCTCTTTATCTAGCTGTTAAGAGATAGCAAAGAAAGGCTACAACAGAGCCTCATGCTAACAGGTGGGGAACCTCTGGCCCTCCAGGTGTTGCTGGACTACAACTCCCATCACCCTGAATCATTGACTATGAAGGCAGGGGCTGATGGAGTCCAACAACATCTGGAGGTCCAGAGGCTTCACATCCCTGCTCTAGCCAGTGCAGGGAGAAATGCAGCGGCAGCTCACAATCTCCATTCTGGAGCAGAAGCCATCTGAAGTGTCCAATAGGATGGGGAAAAGGAAATTAAAGAAGTTACCATTTAGTGCCTGCTTCAAGAGAAGCCACAGGATTGCAGACAAAGGAATAGTACTGCTGTGGGTTCCAACATTTCTCTGACTCGTTCCACACCTTCTGAAACAAATCCTGTGTTTTGTTGGGGATGGGAAAGAACAGCATGGGGGGTGGTGTTGCTAGTAGACTTTGAACATGACAATGAACACTCTCAACTCTTTGGAATGAATCAGTGTCACTTGAGGTATTGCCAAGGTGGCTAAGAGGCCTGGAGCCACAGATCCTTGATGAAACTTCACCTTGCTCCTAGAATGGAGTTTATCAAAGCCATCACAAACTCAGGGAAGGCAACAGCTGGAAGGTGCTCAGTGGCAGGCACCTGACATCCTCTACTAATTTCCTGTTTGCTTGCAACTCCCAACTAAACATTCCATAAGTGTATTTGGAATTTCCCCTGCACCTCATTTAGCAGGTACTTAAATGAGAGTTGCCTGTACCATTTCAAGATAACCCACTTCCCTTTAAATTCCTATGTCTCTTGCTAATTTTTTGCACAATTAATATTTCCCCATTCCTGTCTCTCTCAGCAAACAGGGCAAGAGCAACCATGTGTGTCCCTAGATGGCACACGAGCATTGATTCAGTTTATGGGTCTTAGCACCTCTATGGTTATGGGTGGAGGAAGCCGATAATCTGCTACAGCCACAGGAAGAAGAGTAGCAGAAATAACCCCTTAACATTTCTAAAGAAAGCATGCCTGGGAGGAAAAAACAGGGATGTGAAGGAGAGGCCTGAATTACAGGGAATACTAGATGCCACTGTTTAGGGTACGTTGGTCTACAAACTTGGGGAAGGGTACTTGGGAGGGTAGTACTAGGAATTGGAAGTGAAACACCTGAACAGGAGGTGAAAAGCTGAGAATTGCCCAGAAGTTGTCAAGGAGGAATGCCCTTGGCTCATCTGCCTGCCAATGGTACAATGCTAACTTGTATGATGTTGCTTTGCCCTCAGTTAGGCAAAACAGAGCAGGGTCAAAGAGCATCTGGGGCTCCTGAAGAAGGCAGGTGAGACAAAGGACACCATTGAAAGCTGCGGAGGAACAGTCCCTCTTTCCTCCTATGCACACAGTCAGGGCGGCTCAGCACAGCTAACTGCTGACTGAGTCCAGGCCAGGTACACTGGAGAAAACTTGAGCAGTGTGGGCAAGTGGGAAAGTGAAACCTTGGACGGTGAATCCATGGGTCGGTCACTCACTCACTCACTCACTCACTCACACACACCCTCTACCTGCCTGCCACCATTCTCCCACATCCTGGATGCCATTGTTGCTGAAGTTGGTACTGCCAGGCCAATTGCCTCTGTCAGGAGGACAGCACAAGTCTGGTTTGTACCTTGGAATGTAGTCTGTCCTCTGTTCTGAATAGGGTTGCCCAAGGAAGGTGGACAGGAAGCAATACTGCAAGAGAGCGCGACAGGCAATCACTGTCCTTTAACTCATCACCGCACATTCAGTCCCAATGCATTGAAGTGCCAGCAGAAATCTGCCCAAGCCAGGCCTCACTTGAGTAGAGGCGATATGTAAAGATGCAGCAGAGCCTCCTTCTACCAGTATCCAATCCACACTAGCCAGCCTCCTTTGAACATGTCCCACATTTCCCCCCCTTTGGGGAAGAAAATGCCAAGGAAATCATCATCACTGTTCCCCTCTCTTGGCAGTGGTAAGAATAGCTGCAGTTGGCTTGTACATTTAACAAAGATACCACCACTGTGATGCACCCCCACTTGCTATTGTCTTTGATAAATGTTACCAGAGCAACAGAACCTCATAATCCCCACATTGGCTACCAAAATGTCACTCACTGTCCATTAACATGAGGTCTACAAAGATGGTGGTCTGATCAGTGGTGGACACTTTGCTGGTTCATAGGTCCCAGCACCTGAGCATTTTGACTGCTGAGGCAGAGCCTAGACTGTCGCTTGACTGTATGCTTTAAATCTTAACTGCTGATAGGATTCTAAACTGTGGTTACCACTAGCTACGGTTAAGTGTTATGTCTGCAACTGGCCCTAATGGACAAGTCCTAAAAACCTGAGGCACTAAGTCCAAGGGGAATCGTGGCATGTTAAAATGCTGGAGGAGACAGGATGTTTCGGCAGGAACCAAACCACTCATTTTCACAGTGGACAGTTTTACTTCTCAAACTTTAAGGAGAATACATAATGGGTTATAAAACTGTAATCCAAACGCACTAAGGATAACCTGCTGGATATGAAATATACGACCTTATTACCCCTTATGATTTCATTAAGGACCGACAGTAGCAGTGCAGGTTTGAATCTCTAGTGACTTAGCCATAATTTTGTACAGACACAGCTGTAAAGGGCAGGGCATTTCTTCAAATAAGGTTATAAAAAAATAACGAACACACAGAACTGCAGAAGATTTTTCTCCTCCAGGAAAGGAAAGACAAGACATAAAATGCCACTCAACAGATCCTCATTCATACCAAATTTCATATGTTCACATTCCCCTATAAAGATGTTTTAATAACCCATGTTCTCATGTCTCCTCATGCATTGGCTAGTGAATTCGGCAAATTTTAAAATGAAGGGGAGAAATGCCATTAAGCTTTAACCAATCAAGGTGATACATTTGACCTTCACAGTATTTCCAATACCTGTAACTTAAGTCAGCAAGAGACTGTCTTTACAACATCATATATAGAGCGGTGTGTGCTCTGTCATTTGAAGGCCCCAGTGTGCAAGCATGGAGCAGGGCACAGAAACCATCATCCTTAGAACCTCAGATTAATGTAAGAATGCAAAGATAAGCCAGAAAGTAAAGTGTGTGGACAATTCCTCATGAATTCTCAGAAGTGGGAAGAACTGAGGGAGCAGAATTTCAGGGCCCCACATTGGGTCATTTGCAGAATTAATTATGTGGAAAATATATTGGTATTGTGTACACAGGACATAGGTTGTACCCTGAGCTACAGGAGTGGAAAGCAGCTCACACAGCCAGTCTTTCCCTGCCCTCTTGCATCTCTAGAGAGCCAGGGGAATCTATCAAATATTGTGAGCTGTGTTTTATGCAGTAGGAGGGATGAACTGCAATTGCCCCTTCCCACTACAGTTCCATAAGACTCAGCCCAAAACATTTGATACGCCCCTCTGACATTTTGGAGAAGCTTTTCACATTGTACTGGCTGCCCAGAGGAAGAAGGGAAAGACCAGTTGCAGAAGCAGAGCTTTGGATGCAGCCCATAGAATTTTGATTCCTCTCAGCAGAGTATACACAGGCCTGATCACACTGAGGCAGCTTGCATTTTTTAAGTGAATTGTAAGAATTTATCCTTCAAATTCTTTTTGGCTTGCATGCCTCGTGAAAATCATATAAGGGTTTGAAATATGGAGTAATGACTCCTAGGAAAGATACAACAGGCTTTATCTTGCCTATCTCAAAAGAGGCTTTTCTCTGAACATAACTTTGCAACATTCACCTAAAGTTTCATCCAGATCATAGCTACCCACACTCTCTGTACACTAAGCTAGAATTATGGAAGTAGGAGAAAGAAAACGTAGCCTTTTCTCTCTCTATTAGAGTATCAATAGATTGTCTGGTCCACATTAGATTTGTATTCATTACAGCCTGCATTACAAACTGCAGCAAATGACCAGCACAAACTAGAAGGACCAACATGCATGGAGTGATGAATGTGACCAGAAAGCACATCTGTGACCATTCAAAGCCACCACCTGGCCTGCCCTTATATCCACAGCATTTACTCTCTTTCTTTGCCAAGATTTTCCAGACACATATACTGCAGAACTCAGAATTTCAACTTCCGGTTATAAAACTGTGACCCAATCTACTTGTTGCATATGTATTGGGAAAGAACTCTCAGTTGTTTAAAGAGGTGTATTATGTCCTCCCCTCCATAACTGTAATTGAAATATCTAATATTTTTGTAGAAAGCCTAATGCAGCTAACACAAAATTAAAAGCAGTAATAGCAAAAAGATCAAAACAATTCCATAAAACTATTAAGATTCTATTAATTCATCACAAGTTAAATACATGATAATATTTCAGTAACTAACTACCTAATAAAATATCAGCGTAACACCAAGTAATCTTATTCTTCTTCTGTGACCCTCTCAAAGGTAAGGAGGACCTTTGACTGCAAGGACACAGGAGTTGTGAAAGATCCATTCTACCTCACTCAGTGCAGGGTCTGGCTTCAGAACTCGTATGAGGCTAACTTCAGAACAAGCTTTCCCCTCCTTACCTGCTGTGGCACATCTGCTCTGAGCACCCTGCTGTTACAGCAGCAGAGGTTAGCCATTTGGGCAGTACATTCTTAGCAGGTGATTCCTGAACCATGGGTCTTGAAATTGCTTCCCCTCCCTCCCCCTCCCCAGATTCTTTTATGTTAAGCCTACTCCTTCCAAAGAAAAGTGACAGAAAATTCAGCAGAACACAATGACAAAAAAATAAGCTGTTCCCATACACACACACACAACTCTCTACGTTGATTTGTGAGCTTGTTTACTGTCACAGTTAGAAGAGTGCATTAAAAAGGATTTTGCTTTAGCCAGGCGTTCAAACAGTAAATTGCATTTCTTCCGATCTTAATCTGCTCTAGATAGTACTGTGAGGCTCCCTGCTTGATTGTTAATCTTTATTATATTTTAAAGGCCATAATTATTTTAGCGATTCTTTTCTTTACAATGAGTGGTGGCAATTAGCTCATCCTGTTTTACGGGGTAGTTTTCCCTGAGAGGGGTATGAAAATTGGCACAATGAAGCACAGCCAACCTGAAGCTTTGCTCTGGGGACACAACATCTCAAGTCCTTGATTTTTAAACTTAAAATCCTAAGGTTTCTTAGGATGCAGTTTTAAACTACTGAGTGCCACCGGCATACACACATACATCCAGTGCTGGAATCACTGAGATGGGGCAAACCTCTGGAAGTGAAAAATGCCAAGGCGAAAAGCTCACCTCTCTCTTCTTTTTGGCTTTGATGTCCTCAGTATTGTTGGCAAGGCTTGACTTCCGCTTGGCACTCTCTGATTTCTCCCGAGGCTTGTTCTCACCTTCCTTCATTTTTTTGTATTTTTTCATAAACTCAGAAATCAGTTCAGGGCAGTCAAGGTTCTTCTCAGGTTCCCAAGTATTATGCTCCCTGATATAGTAAAAGAAGGACAACAGTGGGGGACAAAATAACAAACAGAAAAAAGTTGAAAAAGTTCCCATTTAGTGATCACAGACATCAATTAAGAACTGAGTGAAGAATTACCCTGCACAAGAAAATCTGTGTATGGAGAAAAAACTGTTCCAGGTTTTTAGGGAAGACTGGATACTTAGAAAACCAATTCAGAAGACCTGATGCTCACGATGGATTGCTCAGAGTAAGAGTTGTTTGAATCTCTGAGGGCTTAAACAGAATTCTGTGGCAATTTGGGATTGGTTTCAGCTGCAGTGGGAAGAATTCTAAGCACAACATTGCCCTGATTTCTAAAAATCCAATGCAGCTGCTTAAGAAATTGTCATTCTTCCCGGCCACCTTGACCCTTGCACAGGACTGTTTCCTAAAAAAATTGGTTTCTAACACTTGCATTTGAAACATCTTACCAGCCCTGGTTCTAGGAGGTATTATTGTTTAAAGGGTTACATACTCTTTGAGAGATTTCCCCAAATTTACATTGGGAACAACATTAGCAGCATTTAGAGATATTTTTAATAAAGGAATTAATCACACCGTCACTTACGTACAGGCAGGCTTCCTATATACCATAGCTGCAAGAATGCCTACAATGCAAGGGATTTATTTCTGAGAATATAGCCTTGTCTTAGATACAAGCTGTTCTAAGAACAATACCAGAGATACTAACTGAACACAGATTAAATAGGAACAGTTTAATCATATCATTATTAGGTTCAACTAAATGAGCAAACATTCATATTTCAAAGAGCCCTTTTTCAGGCTTGATGTTTAAACAAAACAAAAAGGAAAAAGTTGGGTGGTAATAGAGGAAAAGGTCACTTTAGACTAACTGGGTTAGTTTGTGTCCAGTATATGAGATTACAGGTTGCAGCAAAAGCATATTGAAACACTGAAGCAATGGTTACGATTCCACACAATGCTCAACCACAGTTTACTGCTATGTGGCTGACTCTCCACAAGCCCAAACAAAGTGTTAGCCTCTCAAGTCCCCACCTCTTCTTCAGCCAGAAGGAAGACCTTTGGCAAGTTTAGTTTTGCTTTCAAAGGATCTCAGTTTAGTGTTGCATACAAACCAGGGATCCCAGTTTAAAGCAATTCTTAGTTAAACAAGCCCATACTTTGAGGTTGGCTTTGTTTAGCAACGAACCACTGTGAGCTGCAAGCCAGGATTCCTAGTTCATACGTAAAGCTAAGTCAAGGTTCTTTGACAGTGAAGCTAAACTAAACAGAAGTCCTCCTCCCAGCTCCACATAAGGAAAAAGAAGGCAAAAGCACACAAGCAGAACACTTTGCTCAGGTTCAGAGAGGCTCATCCACATAGTACTAAATAACAGTTTAGCATTACGTGTGAGCTGGATCTAAGGCTATTTTCCTTGGAGATTATTTACTTTTATATTTTCAAACTGAGCATGGTCTAAGGGACACAGAATCATTTTGAACAACTGAATCACTGCAAGCCCAAAGTGCTCTTTTTTGATGTGGTGCTGATGAAGAAATACCCTCTCAAATGCTGCACAGCAGGGCAATGTGTCAGTGTCTGCTTGATAACTTGCCTTCCCAGAATCAGGTGGTGTGCATCCATTTAAACACCGTGGCCTCAAATCTGGACTCTTACATAATGAATCACGGCTGTCCTTCATGGAACCGTAAAACCGGCTGCCAGAACCCAGGACAAATACCCAGGGTACATATACATACAAACACATACATCGACAAAAATCCTTTTTAGAGCAGTTCTTTTGTACTGGGACTAATGAGAAGGGCTGTGCTTTTAAAAATAATGAAATCAATCAAAATGACATACTAAGTTAACTTAAGCTCTGCACCCTGTGCAAATTATGCATTTTGCATATATTTGCTTTGCATAAATCTATTTCAATTCTGGTAATTGTGGAGAGGGCCAAAGTATGCTGAAGCTACTGATTTGGTTCCTGGAAATTCTTCTCAGCTCATCTCGGTGTCTGAGATTCAACAACCTTTGCTGACAACTTTCAAGCTTATCTTAATATCCTTAACAGCTAGAAAGTTGTATTTTTGAAAAATCAAAATCAAAAATCATAGCAGAGATATTTGGGATACTCAAATTTCACACCCAGCACCAAATTCTGTGCTTGGACAACACAGCCCTGAAGGGAGGGGAAGAGGATTAACGTTCCTTTTCCAAAGCAGCTGTTTAAAGCAATCCACAAGAGTATTTGATCAAAATGCCCTCCCAAATCAGAAACCTCAAATGAGGAGGAAAACTATTTAGACAATAGTGCTGGTGAATAACTCAAGTGGAACTACCAACTCTGTGAAGTGAGAGAGGGAACGCAGATGCCAGGATTTCCAAAACACGCTTTAAGGTCCCAGGCCCTCGCCTCGTGACCCACTCATTTAAATGGATGCACGCCACTCTTGTCTGGAGTGAGGAAAGCAAGCTCCCACCCATGAAGGTTTTTTTGTTTTTAAGGAAAGCTTGAATGAGGGCAACGGAAGTTAAATTTGAAGCACTGCCTGGAGCTCTGCTAACAAGAAAGCTCAAAGCCCACGTCAGAAGGAAAGTTGGACTTACTCAGAGAATCCTTTCCACTTGAGAAGATACTCCACTTGACCCTTCACAACACGCCTGTCTAGAACCTTCTCCACAACATATTCCTCCTCCTCTTCAGAGGACGAACTATCTGCTGTCCTCCTGTTTCTCTTTCCCATAGCGCAGAAGTTGCACCTAATGCACAAAGGCTACCCAATTCCTGCAAATCGGAAGGGAAACGTTAATTGGCGATAACTGAAAACGGGCTTCTGTTTCCAGAAATCTCACAGTGCATCACCCACTCTGTAACGGCACATCTCTCAAATGTTTCACTGTCTGCTGGCTAACAGTCGGGGCTGCAAGGGGGATCTGAGGGCAGAGGAGGCTAACCATTAGTATATAAAAATAAGCTAATTTTAAAGGAAGAAGGGAATAAACAAATGAAGCATTAGGTCTTTTCTTCCAGGCCATTTTTAAGGTGCATGATACAAATGTAACAATTCCACAGAGCCACATTATATGCCAAACCTACCCGCACTCACCCGAAATATCAACCATGCTGATACTAGTCATTAAGCATTGTCCCAATTGAACAAATTGCGATGCTCAGTAGCAAGAAAGGAGGCTGCATTTATCTCAAGATAAATAAACAGGCATGGCATGAGATTGTTTCACAGGGTGTTAAATACCAGCTCTTAGCGTAGCAGGTCAAACTGGAGCTAATTCAAGAAAATCTTTAATAAACATTATTTATTAAAAAAAGAGAGAGTGAAAGAATTGCGTGGGTGCTCATTATGAATATGAAACTCCTGGTAAGCTGTATGCTTCAAAAGAGAATTCCCCTCAACAGCATATAGTAATTTATTCTCTCTTCCTGCAGTAGCCAATCACTTCTAAAAAGGAGCAGAGCTTCCATTTGAGCGACTATGTTTTAATTTTTATCACATATTTACAGCTTTTAGCAAGGAAAATGATTTACCACCTTCTTCTTCTTGTTTGGACTTTACAGCAGTCCTTCAACTGTTTCGTTTTTTGCAGACTGGGATGCAAGGCTAAAACTAGAACTAGGCTATGCGGCAAGTGCATGCAATGACAGAGCCCAGCCTGGAACCCAGATTCAGCCCTGGACCCACTGTGAAGTGAACCCTAAAAAGGACAAAACAGATGTACACTACAAATGTAGGCTACTGTAGAAGTGAGCAGATACCTGTTTCAGCAAGGCTAAAAGCACTTTGGCTCACACCAGGAAGGCACAATAGGCTTAAAACATTATTTAGGAGGGCAGAAGCTCAGAGAAAACAGGGTTAGGATCATGCTGCTGGGTTCATACTGAACAGAAATAGCATAACTCCTGATTAAGTGGGTGTAAATATGCACAGTGTACAGGGGTCAGCAAACTTTTTCATCAGGGGGCCAGTCCACTGTCCCTCAGACCTTGTGGGGGGCCGGACTATATTTTGAAGGGGGGGGGGGAATGAACAAATTCCTATGCCCCACAAATAACCCAGAGATGCATTTTAAATAAAAGGACACATTCTACTCATGTAAAAACATGCTGATTCCCAGACCGTCTGCGGGCCGGATTTAGAATGTGATTGGGCCAGATCCGGCCCCCGGGCCTTAGGTTGCCTACCCATGGTGTGGACACTTCCAGCTACTATGTTTCTCTAGGGCAAAATATGAGGAGGGACGGACCATAAAATAAGCCATGCACAAGCCTTGTTACTGAAGAACTGGAAGCTGCGATCTAGGAAATGTTTTGTAACTTACACCAGTTGCATGAATGTAGAGAAAAATTGGTTTGCATCCCTAGATTTCCCCTATTTTGCATGCTATTTCCAAAGAGAAGATTAGATCTATCACTTTGTGCAACAATAACTTATGGTAGGGGCATTGGTGCCTATCAGCTGTGGATTTCAGGAATATGAGGGGAGGGAAAGCAGGTACTTCAAAGAGGAAAGATCCAGAATTTTTTTTTTTTAAAGGAAAACGGAAAAGAATGAAACTCAATTTTGTTCTGCTGCAACTTCTTGTCACACACACTTTTTTTTAACATTAAAAATAACTTTGAAAAGAAAGGTAAGATAGTTGGCCCGGCACTTTATTTTGGTTCAATGACAAATTAAAATAATGTAAATGTACATTAAAAAAAATGAACAGGAAAATATATTCGAGTGATGACTAACCTGTGGTCCTCCAGACGTTTTTGGACTACAACTGCCCCTATCTCTGAACACTGGCCATGCTGGCTGCAGCAGATGGAAGATGTGAGTCCAACATGTGGAGAGCCACATGTAAGCCACCTCTGTGCTGGGGGTGGGGTGGGGGTAACAACTGAGAAATACTCTTGTGGAACAAAAGGATGGATTTTTAATTTTTTCTGCCCCATTTAACATTACTTGTAGCCCCACTTAGCATTCAAATGTAGCCCCACTTCTGAAATATTAAAAGCCGATGACATTATCTGAAATTTGGATATTGCCACTGTAAAAATCAAGATATTTATACCCACAGAATAAAAGTTGCAGACACGTTTCTGAGTATGCAGTCTTTAACTGGTGAGTGTGTGATGCAAGTAACGCGCCAATAAAATTACTTAGAAACCTCACATTAACAAGAGAAACTCTTCTCAAAAGCAGAGTTGAAATGACGAAAAACTGAAATGGATTGATTCTTTCAACAGACTAGTGCCTCACTGCTACGGCAACAATAAACTGGACTGTGGTCATGCTGGTATTCATGGATCAGTAGTTAAAGTTCTGTCACAGCTAGTTATAAAAAGGCATATTTTTCCAGGGATTTATAACTTGGCTATAAAAATTCACTGCAGCTTGAAATATGGGCTTATGAGGTCTCAGACCCTGAGTGAAGTTTAATACCACCCAAAAAAGGTATGTGTCTGTGGAAGAGAAATCAATTACACCATTTGAGTTACAAGACTGAAAAAAAGTAGTTACAGTTGCTTTGTGCTCTTATAAATTACACAGCTTCCAATTTTAACAAGTCTGAATTTAGCAGATGATTAGTTCATAAACACTGTGTGGTCCAGCTGTGCTTAGCAGAAATTTTATTTAACTTTCACTTACGGGTTGCCCTCACAGCTCTACCCCTACTGCAAATATTTGCCATTGTGAAACATGCGCACCCCTATCACAATTAATTGCACATTCCATATGCAGACATGAAATTAGGTGTTGCAGTCTTGAACAAAACACAGTAAGAGGGCTTATAAATGGAAGTTCTTAATAATTTTCCAAATGGAGACACATTACAAGTTCCCTGGAAAGTGCATATTTTTATAAGGCTATTAAATGTGGTTTTTAAAAGAAATTAACACAACAACAACAGAGAGACTTATTTTGACGGAAACCAGGAAATTCCATGTTGAAGCAGGCTTCCATTTCTTGGCTGGAATTTCCTGACTTGTGTCAGTTTAGGTCAGACAGCTAACATAGTAAAGAATATTAAAGCAGATTCTTTGCCCATAGGAGTCTGCCTGGCAGGCCTGTCCCAGGGCAAAAGCAACATAGTAACCAGTGCAGCCTGAACAAAATGTGTGCACTCCCAAACAGTATGTAGTTGTGGGCATGTTGTCATTTACTATACAGATTATGTAAAGCTAACATCCTATACAGGGAGAAAGATCATATGGAGATAACAGATGAAGACAGCATGCAAAAAAGTGTTTGTGCTTTTGTCAAAAGGCAGCTGTCTAAAAGTAACAGGTTTCTACTATCTGCCCTTGCAATGGACAGAAATAATGCACTTTATTACTGCCAGGGCTTCTGAGACTAAAGCTCTAGGGGAGCAAAAGAAAGGAAAGGGGTGTGTGGGTTCTGCTCCATCTGACAGATCAACGAAACTGCCAACAATGGCTGGGATTATGCTAGCATTTTACACAATGTTAACAACATGCTGTTACCCACTTTGTCTCTCTACAATGGAAGCATTTGCACTTGGCAGTGGTAATGACCACGTTAAAACCAACTGACTTAACACTGTATGTAACCATAATAGTGCTTTACACTCTGATTTAAAACTATAGTATCTTGCAAAACCTGAGGAGTTAAGTATCTCCCTGCCTGGAAAGAGGATCTGTTTAGTATACCTTCAGAAGGCTACAATCCATAAAATATTCCAGCGAGTGGGTACTGAAAAAGAACCATATACATTTAAACCATGGTTTTATAATTTGTAAACACTGAGCATGGTATTTTAGCTAAGGAACACTAAGTGACAGGATATGGAGAGGATGGGGAAATCTGTGCCACAAGTTCATACTGAACCTTTGTGTTTGAGTAGCCTTAAATAAATGTATCTACACTGCAAAATTCCAATAACTGTGGGAATGGGATCAACAAAACATGGGCAGGCTGAGCAGTCTTCAGATTGTGACCAACACCAATCAACTCTTGGGTTGCATTCAACAAAGTAGTCTTATTCGTGCAAGGACTTCTGCCTGAAGAATGGGATGACTTCTCTGTCCTCTTCCCACATGTCCCCTGATCTGGAGGGCTGGGGAAAAGCCCAGAACAGGTTGAGAGGAAGTCCCATTGTGCAAGCAGAAGTCCTTGGACTAATGGGACAACGGATTTTCTTAATGAGGATCAGCGACATGAAGTTTAGCTTGCAATGGTGCTAGTATGCTGTCAAGTTCCCTAAGAGACTCCTATGACTCAGGGCTAAAATAGGGCTCAGATACTGTCAACTTAGAACATAGAGCATAACCATTCTATAGCGGAATGAAACACCCTAATCAGTGTTCGTTTATGCATGTCAAACAAGTCTACAGGACCAACCACTGCTAAATGCCTTCATAATTTAAAGGTAGCTGTGATAAATTGTAAAGTTAGACAAATTAGTGGTGTCCAGTTTTTAGGAGGTCTGTTTGAATGATTTGAAACATATATGCCAAGATAAGTATGATAAAATCTTTAATTGGCATTTACTATACTGCAGCTGAAATATTTTATGACACTGTACCACTACGATAATCAATATCCTGCAAATACCTAAAAGAGGAAAATTAATATGCTTGTGAAATCATATGTATGCCTAACACAAAGCGCACACAAAGATGTAACATCTAACATACAATGGTTGAGAAATGGACACAGGCCAACCCACTGAGGCCGAATGCAATTGTTAGCAGGCCTTGTGACTTGGAGAAGATAGGGAT